TGTGTGTGTGTGTGTGTGTGTGTGTGTGTGTGTGTGTGTGTGTGTGTGTGTGTGTGTGTGTGTGTGTGTGTGTGTGTGTGTGTGTGAGTGTGTGTGAGTGTGTGTGAGTGTGTGTGAGTGTGTGTGAGTGTGTGTGAGTGTGTGTGTGAGTGTGTGTATGCGTGTGTGTGTGTGTGTTTGCTTCTTATATCATTTGCCTTTCAATATGCTAACCTTAAGGAGAAAAAAAAAGAAGGTATTAATCATTTTTAGATTGGCAAAAAATGGCACAGAAATATAATGAACCACACAAACATCACCCTATTTTACTTTTCAGGTACCTGGTCTTTATTACCTTTGCTAATTTCATTTTCTATTTTTCCCCCAAAAAATCATCAACAACCAATTTCAATTTCTTTTTCTATAACAATGGTTTTACTAAGATATTAAGGACCTTCAGTGGGCATGTCAAGCAATATTTGTGCAAGTACACAGTTAATCAGAAATTGTAATACCAATGCAATCACACGAAATACAAAAATGAGAGATGCATCTATCTCAGAATTGGCTGATTTCTAAACTACTGGAATCATTAGCTATGGGTTAAGCTTTGTCATTTCTCAAAATACTTCAAGAGAATCGGAAGTAAAGCTGATATCAATGCTGAAAACCTTATTAAACTTCAGATTCTTATCATAACAGCATTACCTGTGCACGTCTAATGCCGGATATCTTGTGGCTTATAAGACATGCAAGTTACCTCACATGTCACTTGATAAAAGGTATCATCATAAATATCTAGACATTACAACATGTCATGAAATCCTGAAGTCACTGTTCGATACACAGTGACATAATAGTCATGGTAAGTTCACATGCAAACATGTAAATATTGGAACTCTACTGCATAGCAGCCGAATGACTATGATAAAGGTGCAAGTTTTTGAAGCAGTGTGGTATGTGTAGTCTAAGATTTTCTGCATAAATTACAAGTGCTGAAAAGTCTCTCTCTGCACCTTGCACAGCTTGTATTCAAGTAAATATGATGGTTGCATAAACCTAATTAGGGTCTAAACTTTCACAATGATAAGATTCATTACACAAATTAGTATCTCCACTATAATCAAACTCTGATTATACATTTCAATATGTTTCACTGAAAGCAATAAAAGAATGAGAGAGAGAGAGGGAGAGAGAGAGAACTATATCCTTTTCACCCAACTTCCATATGTTATAGAGTTGGGCTGGTTACAGCAAACTGCAAATATCTGAACCAGAAAGAAAAGAAAGAATATGCTAATGAAGAAAAAACATTGTCATTGCATCCTTCACCATTGTTCCATTTTCTTGTGATGTTCTGCCATGCTTTCTCAGCTATTCCTTCATCCACTATTGACTTTAAACATATGTAAAAGTATACACAGATATTTAAGTGTGTATGTATATATACACATATACATAATACACACACACATACATACACACATAAATAAATATGTATATAATACATACAAATTATAAATACATAAATATATATAAATAGGAGTCACTTTATGAGTGGATGGCTTCTTGTATGTCAGAACTGGTTCCGTTTGAGTTTATTCCTGCCTCTCTTTCCTCGCATAAGAATACACTTTCCTTCTTGACTTTCGTGTTATACACATCAATTCTACAGAGAGAAGAGAGAAGAATATTAAGTCATTATCCTGTATACTGGCAAAGAGCTTGTATTTTACACATGCCAGCAGATTATTTCAATATGTACACTTTCAAAAATTTTAAACCAGTTATGGGTTGAAATTCTGTGTGAAAAAAAAAAAAAAAAAAAAAAAGAGAAAGAAAAAAGAGAGAGAGAAAACAAAAGGACGGACATGACTCACTTATCATAAATAATGCCATGAAGCCCAATGCTCTTGAGAAACTTTATATTCTCCTGGTCGTTGTTGTGGTCTCCCCAGCAGAAGACGATCAAACCGTGCTCAAGGGCCATCTGGACCTGGAGTGGGTCACGCATCAGATCTTCTGTGTGCACGTTTATTCCCTGGAAATTAAACTGTGTGTTAGACAGATATCAAATTTAAGAGTAATTCTAAAGCTCTCTAATCTCTAACTCTCTCTCTCTCTCTACTTCTCTCTCACTCTCACCTCTCTCTCTCTCTCTCTCTCACTCTCACCTCTCTCTCTCTCTCTCTCACTCTCACCTCTCTCTCTCTCTCTCTCACTCTCACCTCTCTCTCTCTCTCTCACTCTCACCTCTCTCTCTCTCTCTCTCTCACTCTCACCTCTCTCTCTCTCTCTCTCTCACTCTCACCTCTCTCTCTCACTCTCACCTCTCTCTCTCTCTCTCTCACTCTCACCTCTCTCTCTCTCTCTCTCACTCTCACCTCTCTCTCTCTCTCTCTCTCTCTCTCACTCTCACCTCTCTCTCTCTCACTCTCACCTCTCTCTCTCTCTCTCTCACTCTCACCTCTCTCTCTCTCTCTCTCACTCTCACCTCTCTCTCTCTCTCTCTCACTCTCACCTCTCTCTCTCTCTCTCTCTCTCTCTCTCTCACTCTCACCTCTCTCTCTCACTCTCACCTCTCTCTCTCTCTCTCTCTCACTCTCACCCCTCCCTCTCTCTCTCACTCTCACCCCTCCCTCTCTCTCTCACTCTCACCCCTCCCTCTCTCTCTCACTCTCACCCCTCCCTCTCTCTCTCACTCTCACCCCTCCCTCTCTCTCTCACTCTCACCCCTCCCTCTCTCTCTCACTCTCACCCCTCCCTCTCTCTCTCTCTCTCACTCTCACCTCTCTCTCTCTCTCTCTCTCACTCTCACCTCTCTCTCTCTCTCTCTCACTCTCACCTCTCTCTCTCTCTCTCACCTCTCTCTTTCCCTTTAACCTCTCTCTCTTTCCCTCTAACCTCTCTCTCTTTCCCTCTAACCTCTCTCTCTTTCCCTCTAACCTCTCTCTCTTTCCCTCTAACCTCTCTCTCTTTCCCTCTAACCTCTCTCTCTTTCCCTCTAACCTCTCTCTCTTTCCCTCTAACCTCTCTCTCTACTTGTAACTACCCCTCTCTACTCATATCTCTCTCTCTTTACCTCAAACTCTCTCTCTCTATCTTTAACTTTCTCTTTAACCTACCTCTCTACCTATCTCTCTGTATGTGTGTTTGTCTGTCTTGTCTCTCTACAGAGGATTGCGCTGATGCCTAAATTCTTAGAGGCTTGTGCACATCAACAGTGCCCCAACGTGTATGCAAGCACAGGAAATACTTTATCCATCTCCACAAGAGGCTTCCAATGTTCTTTAGAAAACCTTAAATAAACACAGCATCCCAACTCCCAACATTTATGTACCAAGCTCAAAGATCATCTCTACATGGACTTTGCATACACCTACCCATCCACACAAGCAAGCACATAAGCATATACAATACAGTTTGTCTGAAAATCTTTCTTTAGTACTCACCAAAATATCTGCATTGGTTGAGTAGAGCACTGCATGTCTGATGGTGGTGGTGCGCTGGTCTTCATAGGGTGGCCAGACCTCCGAGATACCCTGTGTCAGGAACATGACTGGGTAGCGGTTCTGCTTGAGGCGCAGCATGGTACAGATGTCAGGGTGGAAGCATGAGAAGATGATCTTCCTCTTGCCTGAGTGTTCCAGAATAGACTGAAAAAAAAAAAAAAAAAAAAAAAAAAAAAAAAAAAATATATATATATATATATATATACATATATAAAGCTATACTTTGGATAACTTCTAGGTGTTTGTAATGAGTGAAGAAAATGCACAGCAGAAAGTTAAAACAAGTACCAGAAAGTTTATGAAAATATTATCAATAACTATTAAAGCAAAATATATGCACAAAATATATAATAACTTGCCAAGGAAGGGTTAAATCTCTGAAGACATTTTCTAAATTCTTTTAAGAAATTTATAATTCTTAAAATGCAATCCTCTAATCACAGGTATATATTGAAGGACTTGAGCTATAGTTTGCCATCCATTTTCAAAAGTCCATATCTGTGTTTATAGTGCGAATTGCTCGTGTCAATTCCATCTCTGAATTACCTCGATAATGAGATCTAGGAAGCGGTTCAGCTCGAAAGGATGTTGGAGCTCGTATGTTCCGTCCCTCATCTGCATTGTCCACTTGACTTCTACATTAAAGCCACATGTATAAGGAACAGACTCTAGGGCCTTCTGTAGCGTTGGGAAAGGCTGGTGGTCCTCGAAGTCCTCATCCGAAAACCTACTCAGTCCCTTCTCTGTTTTATGATAGACCTGGGGATAACAGAGGATGTCAGCTAATTCCATATAAAGGGATGGTTCCATAATCAGACATTCAAAATACTGAGGTGAGCACATAACATGCTAAAACCAGCATGCATCAATTCATACCTTCTCTTGAAGTATTGTTTCAGGAACGTCTACAGTGCTGGCTTTCATATAAAATAATTAAGACTCATTTAGTGAGATTTAATAACTTTATGATTTTATAATCATTTCCTCTGTGTGCTGAACATGGTCTTTCTTCTTTATGATGCAATAATACATAAGCTAAATAAGTTGAGAATATAACTTGACAAATTAAATCTTTGCTCTAGTACATGCAACACTTTTAAGATGACTTACTCTTCAGCAGATTCTGTCTTTTACACTGCTAACACTGTGCAACACCTTCAAGTACTATACCAACGAACATGGTCTTTCTTCTTTATGATGCAATAATACATAAGCTAAATCAGTTGAGAATATAACTTGACAAATTAAATCTCTGCTCTAGTACATGCAACACTTTTAAGATGACTTACTCTTCAGCAGATTCTGTCTTTTACACTGCTAACAACTGTGCAACACCTTCAAGTTACTTACTTATACCACCAAACAGACAAAGTATGAGTGACTGACATTTCATATAAAATAAATAAGACTCATTTACTGAGATTTAATAACTTTATGATTTTATAATCATTTCCTCTGTGTGCTGAACATGGTCTTTCTTCTTTATGATGCAATAATACATAAGCTAAATCAGTTGAGAATATAACTTGACAAATTAAATCTCTGCTCTAGTACATGCAACACTTTTAAGATGACTTACTCTTCAGCAGATTCTGTCTTTTACACTGCTAACAACTGTGCAACACCTTCAAGTTACTTACTTATACCACCAAACAGACAAAGTATGAGTGACTGACATTTCATATAAAATAAAAATGATTAGTGATAAATGAGATAAAGAGACACAAGACTGGTGGATGTAAACACAAGAGAGATAATACATGAGAATTCTGGTTACTTGACACTGAGAGACAGAGCTACTCTTCTCAAAATGCAGCAGGAACACACAACCTTGAGCAAGCCTGTTGTGCATACTGAAGGAAGGAAGGAAGGAAATCATCATGACAGGATATTAGAGGAAGGATGATATATACAGTGATATAGTGGCAATATATATATAATGGGCAGCTGAGGATATTTACATCAGTGATGAATGAAGAACCTTAAACAGGAATTAAAGAAAAAATTAGAAGGTAAAAAAGATAGAAAAAAAAAAAAATTATTGTAGTCTTTGAAATACACAGAAACTTAATGACAGTAACCTTTAATATAATATACAGAAATATTAAACTGCAGTGAACGTGAACTTGAGGTTAATCATTACACCAAGAGAAAGAAAGAACGAAAGAAAAATATGGTAATTCTTTACGTAAAACTTGAATTAGTATTTCAGAGATGATCAACCATTATCCTTGAAGGAATCCTGATTACTGTGAAGAAAGTTAGAGAGTATATAATTTGACAATATGCTAATTTATGAAATGAATATAATGATGATGTAAATACCAGTATTGGGTTGGTTAGGGCAATTCCCTTCCCTAAATAACAGAAATCCTTCAATAATTGAAAATTCAGCATAAATGACATAACAAAGAACATATTGTGATCCAAACAGAAATTTTTAACACACCTGGGATTACTGCACCTACTCTGAATATTGAAAAATACAGCTGCTATCTATACAAGTACTGCCTTCGGTAGGATCATGCCTTCCATTTCTAAGGTTGTTCAATGATTATATAAAATTGGCAAACATGAAAATAAGGAGCTAAAAGTACAGAGATAAAATGCCTGGAGACAAAAAAAAAAACTTTGAATTACCAGGGTATGTCTAAACTGTTGACTTGTATGGTATAGTTTGAGGCTCTGTTACCTTGTGTACAGTTCCAAGACTCAAAAAGTGTGAGTAACAGCAGGAAGTTTTTGAGGGTGAGTAACAGCAGGAAGTTTTTGAAGGAGAGGAATGTGTTAAATGAAGGTGAGATGTGTCAATTGCTTTTTACAAAAAATGTTTGGTTTTAATACGAGATATACCTTCGTTTCTTGGTTCTGGCCCTGAAATAAATTTGACTGTATTATATCATTAAGCTTTTACTGACTACGAAAATGGATTTAGAGGTATTTTTTATCAACAAGGTGAGACATTTGTATTTTCTGACTCTGACCCTGAAATACACTTGATTAAAATAAATTCATACATACTTGCTAATAATAACAAGAGATTTGATGGTGTTTTCTATATGTGTGATTCCAATATATAACAATTTAGACAATAAAATAAATTTCATTGCAACAGAATATTAACTACACTCATTAAAAATAATCTGGAGAATATTTACTAAGATTTACTAAGATTCATTAAAAATAATCTGGAGAATATTTACTAAGATTTGGCTGGGATTTATGCAAAATTTGTCCGAATTTTCATACACATGTTTGGGATCCTTAGTAAAAATGAAAAAAGGAAATATTAACAGCAGCATTATTGCCCTATGAAATCCATTATCTACATATGAAATTGGATGTGGGAGATGTATATTCATATGTATGGATAAAAAGTTTAAAATACTGATATCATTACTTGAAAAGGCTTCTAATATGCTTTTAGATTTCTCAAGGTTTTGGACAACCAGCCATGATCCTAGAATAGCAATGGATGAACCAGGATTAGCAAGCATATGCTAATAATTCAGTTCATATTTCGATGTCATTCACCTTTCAGTCATTTCATAAAACAAGCTGACTGCCTGGGGTTTCAAAACAAACACTAACTCGCCATGATCATTTCCAACAAAGTCCAAACTTATCCCCGTGACTCTGGTATGCAACATGGATTTCTGCTTCACTTACCTATGTATTCATCTGTGAGTTTTTGTCTCCTTAATGGTTTCTACAATTTTGATCAGAAAGTGTGCTTCAGGAATTTTCCAAGAATACTTTTACGTTTTTCATCTAGATACGCAATTTTCAAGGGATTTACATTCCATTAGGTTTGCTGAAGTCAAGGTCCCACTGTTCATCAATATAAAATCATCTCAGTTAGAACCCGACGAATTCTAACTGAAGTGATTGTAAAGTGAACAGCAAACTTCCCCTTTGTCATCTTCATCATCTTCAAGACTTAGGACACTAGATAAAAGGACTTGGAGGCAAAGAAAGCTGAAGAAATTGAAAGGAAAGGGATATGATAGAAACGAAATGGAATGAAAGAAGTTATCGACCTGTTCTGTTGAAGAATATTTACCATGAAAACCCTGGACACTGACACAGGTAGCCAGGTAAACCGACAATTGATACCCAACTACAGAAATTTAGATTCCATAGCAGGATGAGAATGAGATTAAAACTCCCTCAAATCAACCTTTCATAATCCTAATCTTACAAAGAAACATAATCAAATGAGGTATGGCAACCAATCATTCTGAACAAATTATACTTTTATTCCTGTAAAAATAACTGGCTTATCATCATAAAATAAAATAAACCTAATCCTGTCTACTAAAGAGTTAAGTTAAAATGATGATATTTGTATTAACCCAATGGCGCCGGGTGTACAAAAGAAAAAAAAAACTCTACGCTTAAACAAACAAAGGCGGTGAGTAGGGGACATCAGCCCGAATCACTGGCTCGCCGCTGTACTAAGTCACCAATGAGCCAATTACAAGTACTACTTGTCACACCTGGTTACCCTTTTCCTTGATATTCAAAAATATTTTATGTTATCTTAAATTACCACTAACTAATGTTAATAAAATTATAATAATCATAGTGTCTATAATAAAAAAAACACCATTGAATTTGATAGCATTAGAAGGAAAGAAAGAAAGAAAGAAAAACAAACAAACTTTCTTCCGCAAATTGAAGGAAAGGTGAAATCAGATTAGGACACAAAGTCTACTAATTGACTCCTTTGTGGCTAAGAACTAGCAGAGCCATCTATGTGCAGAAACATTTCACAAAAAAAAATTTCCATAGTAAGGCTTACCTCAACTTCCAGTGCGGGAATTTGTTCATACCTTTACAAATATGGTATATATTACACATAAATAAAATAATTTCAATAAATGATTTCTAGTACTTGCAACTTGGGTGTATAAAAAGTTCTTTCATGTAACTTTACTCTATCTGTTATGGATTGATTCTACACAAGATGAAATCCAGTGTTAATAGACTTAAAATTCACATCTTGATTTCTATGAATTAAAGCCCAATGCCATTAAGGGGAGTGGCCAGTGGGGGGGGGGGGGGTTGAACTTATTAGCACAGATTCTACATTTAGCAACACTCTGATGAAGTTTTAAACTTATATTCCATCAGCCGAGTTATGTCCTGAAATATAACCTATATATATATATATATATATATATATATATATATATATATATATATATATATATATATATATATACACATTTTTTATTTATTTATTTTTTCCATTTTCAGTTTCAATGCTGTATAAAACAACATATATTTTGATGAAATGCTCGACAATATAGTGGTTCTGGGCAACTACGCTCTCACTCGGCAGCACGATATAGAAGATGAAACACTGGTGAACCTCTGCTCTAAGGCAAGAGAGGGCTTATTCTTGCCAGTATACCAGGACACACTGGAACAATTCCAAAATGCCTAAGTCCTCTGTTGCAAGACCAAGAGGAAAGAAGTCCAAAGCAAGCAGAAAAAAGAAGAAATGAGGCCTGAGGACACAGCTGTATCACCTCCCACTGCATCTTAGAGATTCATGTCTCCCTTTCACAGCTAATACCCAAGGGGATGGGGGGGGTGGGGCTGAAATAAAAATGTCTTTCCAACTTATAGCGAGTCCTGCATGTTTGTGATAAACTCTAAATATTTATCTTTTATGAATAAAGGATAGGAAAATGCATCTTTATATAAAGAAACTGACCTCATAGACCAGGAAAGTAGTCTTGAAAAGTAATCACAACTTTAGAAGTTAAATATCTCAAAATACGATTTCTTCACCTTTGAAATCTATCTCCTCACGCATTTATGCATTAATTTCAATGAAACAATGACTCAACTAAAGATGAAAGCCATAAGAATGCAATATTTAAAAAATCTATGACAATTTCTTTCTAGTTATTTCTTCTTCTTCTTCTTCTTATTATTATTATTATTATTATTTTTTTTTTTTTTGGGGGGGGGGTATATCAGTTTTTCTTTTCTTTTTCTTTTGAAAAATAAACCAGATAAAAAAAGGAAAAAAAAAAGGGATTGTTACACCAAATTCCACATAATGGCCTTTTCTTCATGTTAAGCATATGAAGCAAATCAATTTTGGAGAGGGGGGAGGGAGGAGGAGGAGGGGAAGAGTCAGTTCTATTCACATAGTGGTCTTGACTTCTCATAAAATTTTCTTCTCGATGCGATCAATAACAACAAATTTTCCCTCCAAACCGGCCACTCCCCTAAACAGTATCCAAGTGAAGAGTTACAAGCAGCAAGAGAGAGCCTATGTGACAATAATACAATAACCCATTTGTATTATGTGCACACCTCAGTACAAACAGTGATCACAAGCAATACATACAAAAACATCAACGAAATACTAAATCTTTTCCAAAAATCCATTTAGGGTCAGTGCAAATCTCAAATCACTTCTTAAAGATATACGTGGATATTAAAAGTAACAACAAAGGCAACAACATGCAAAGAATCTTCCTAACGTTGTGAATGACAATGACAGATCATCAGAAACACTTGCAAATGCAATACAATATTTTCTAAATATTCTCAAATGACATTTAATTTTCTGTAAATATAACAACCCAAATCACAACAGAAAGCAGCAACTAGTAAAGAATATTGAGAGGAGCATTCCACATAGGACTTCTCTGAATGAATTAAAAAAAGTGAAAATAAAATTGAATATCTCCTATCCTTTTCTAAACCTAAACAGTCGCAAAAGAACTTGATATACAATGCCCACAGTGATTTTTTTTTCTATTGTAAAGAAATACACCCTAAGCAAAGCTCACAATATGTTTCTTGATTTATGTTCTACCGCTTCCTACAATAAATTTCTCAATGTTGTCTCTGGTATAGAAAGTATTTTGGGGATATGCAGTGACTGATTTTATCTGAACAGTAAATGCTACAACAACAACAACAAACCAAGAAAAATATTACTGAACTTTAGAAAAACTCCAAAAATATTTTTTTCCAAGGACTTTTCAAGTAAAGAAATCAAATAAAATTAAACAAAGAAAGCTTTCAAATAGCATCATATAAATCCTACACAAATACTACTCATCTTGACCTCTTGACAACTTCCCAGAAAGGAAGACTTGAGACTGGATTGAAAGACGAGTAATTCTTATTATTATTACGCTATTGTGATCTTTTCCAGTGTGAAATGACATGAATGGGATTATAATTTAGTCTTCATGCTAAGGTGCTGAGTGAGTAAGAGGAAGGAAAGGGTATTACATATCTCCTTATGGAAGATTTTTTTTCCTGAATTTCCTGAGATACAAGAATAATAATGAGAGGGAAAGTGCTTTTGTTTGGGTGATGAGTGAGTGTGAGTGAGTCTAGCATGAGTGTAAGTGAGAAAGTGTGAAAGTGTGAAAGTGTGAAAGTATGCGTGTATGCGTGTGCGTGTTGTTAACACCAATGCACATATCAACAGACAAATTATTTTTAGCTTTTCCTTCTGTCTTAATCAACATTATCTCAAATATATCATTGCTCATATTACCTAAGAAAAAGAGAAAGAAAGAAAGACGGAAAAAAATGAGAGAGAAACAAGAAAGAAGTGAAGAAAAAAAGAAAAAAGAAAAAAATTAAAAAATAAAAGAAGAGAAAATAAAACTCACCTCTTGCCTAAATTCAATCTTCATTAATGGTATTTAATCTGAAATGCTGCCATCACCTCAAGATTTAAAGAGTTCGAGAAAGTTTAAAAAAATAGTGATCGACTTATTCTATTTTCTTTCCTTTCTTCATTTATAGTAATCATAAGCTATAATCAACTTGAAGGTTATGGTCATAAAAGACGAGAATACAGGAGACAAAGGGGTAAGGAAAACAAACAATTTTGGTAACTTCTGCACAAAATGAAGGGTTCAAAGAGTCAGATGAGGGACTGACTTTCCCAAAGATTTTATAAAGGGAAAAATGGAACATACCCAGTATTTTGCGAAGAGAGCCTTGTAAGGACTTTGACAGCAAATTTTCTTAATGTCTGCTTTTGTTTATGTGCATTTATGTGTTTTCATTAACAAGTGTAGAATTATTCATGCAAAGAAATACCAATTTTTCTCCCTCCACTGTCATGCAACTAATGTACATATTCAACTCCAACCTAAAATGACTAGTACAAAAAGAAGCAGTATAATAACAAAAAAAAAAGAAAAAAGAAAAAAAGTCTGTACCTTCTGTAACAAATAATGTAGAAATATAAAATATCATCAGCTCATTACAATAAAGGTTAATCAACTGGTTCTCAATAGTTCCTAAGCCTTTTCACATTTCCAATAAATTTTGGGACCTTTTTTTTTTTTTTTTTGATGAACAAGTAAGAGTTAGAGACAAACTGGCTAATCTAGGATAAAACTATAGTCTAAAGTAAAATCGTCTTCAACCAGATTAAACAAGGGTATCACAAGAGAAAAAAAAATCAAAAACATTATCAAACACAGGTAACCTCTGACTGTTGATATTAGCAATTACCTTACTAAAGATTAAATGGTTATGGGACTAGATAAACGGAACTGGGTTATCTGTGAAGGAACGGGTAGGATGACTGGTTCAACAAAGAGTGAAAATCTCTCTCTTTCTCTCTCTTTCTCTAAGGGTTAGCAGGAACACCTCCATGAAGCATCAACGGCAGTATAAACCTTCAGCTGTGACAATGGGGCAAGGTGTGCTAGGGTTCGGAACAGGTTGTTGGGGGGATTTTATGCGAGGAAATGTGAGTACGACCCGGGAGAATAATGATATTAGACCGTATCTCTTGCACTGTTTCTTGACATACCATGTCTTCGTGATCACAGTATGAGAGGACATCACACGGCACGCCTTCTTTGAGGTGACTCAGATCCTGGGAATTGAGAAATACATACAAGTCATACATACAACACTTTAACAAAAAAAACAAAAAAACAAAAAAAACAAAAACAAAAAAAAAACACCATGAATGCTATAAATCAAGTGTGACAGACAGAG